AGAATTTCTGTTACCCTCAACTGGAATTTTTCACTTGCCTCTCTATCCTTCACCCCCTATCAGTGCATCTCACTAATACACAGTGACAGGCTTGGGTTTGGAGTTTTTCCCTGCGTAGAAGATGGATACTCACAGAATGTCCATGGCTGTTACATCCTGAAAGCACATAAAACATTTCTTAATGAGGAGAGGACAGGGGAAGACAAGAGTTGATTTAAAATTTTAATTTGATATCTGAATGTTTATCAACATCTTCTGAATGAACATCATGGCTTGGCAACGCAATCTGTAAGTCTCAGTGTGATCCCATGGTAGTTTGTGCTGGGTACAGACAAGCAGAGTATCTCTCCTTTCCTGTGGGTGTGAAAGGCTCATGCTTTGGCAGATAAACTGAGAACTGTGACAGCGTGCTCATGGATAACTGCAAGACCGACGTCACTCAGCTCTGTCCCATTTGCCGTCAGACTTAGAAATAGCACTGACAGTCTGTCATCACGTAGACCTTTTCCCTGGAGGTTGGTTGCTACAAGCTTTTGGAAAAATAGATTTGGAGGGCATGTTACAAAGTCTTTTGTAAGAAGCCCCAGTATCCTGTTTAGAATACAGATGTTACCATTGTGGAAAAAAGGGACCTTCGCCTTTTTCCTGATTGTGGCTTTGAAATATACACTTGACACTCTATGTTTAATTTCGCCCAATAACATCAGAACACAACATTTAATAATAGATCTTTTAATTCTGGAGAGCTCAAGGTTCTCTGCAGAAGAAAGATATGCTGTGCTGCTCCTTTTACAAATGTGGTAGTGGAAGTCCAAAGAAGTGAATTGTGAAGAGCCAGATTCATGTTGAAACTGGAAAGAGAACAGGGCCAAACCTCAAGCCAGCCTCCTAATGATAGGATTTCTACGCCTTTCATCTCCATGAAGGTTTCCCTTCTTGTGTTGTTTCCCAGTGTGTGTGTACAACCCCATCTATGGGATTACATTGTGTGGGAGTTGGGTTTTGCCTAGTAATCCCACTGTCGCCGCTGCCACCTCGTCTCCCTCTGTGGCCAGTGGGTGAGTGAGTTTGGATAATCCAGGGCTCACAGGTGGGACTGCTATGTCTGCTCTGCAGGGTCATGCAGCAGGGAATGGATGGCAAAGATGCGGCTTTCGCAGGGAAGAGTGAGACAGGAATCATCTGCAGAAAGCTCAGGCTCCACCTGACAGGCCTGCTTTGGGCAGTGCCTCTGCTGCCCCACCAGAGATTTGATTTTCCTAAAACAGGGCAATGCGAGCAAACACAATATTGATGTCTGTCGCTCTGGAAGCCGAATACAGTGGTGTACATCCTTGCACAGTGATCTTAAGTCTAACCAGATCTTCTGTTCCTAATTGGCATTATTTTTTAAAAGGTCACTTTAAAAAGGTAGACAAAATGATGTAAATATCAAGAGTAGAGTATTGTGGGTCATGCCAACATGCTGAAATGAGGGAAGGCACTGGTAAGGGAGGGATGAAATTACTCTGTGCCTCTGAGGACAGCTGGGCAGTCAGTGAAGGATTTTGAGGTATTTGAACTTTAAAATTGACACAATGGATGGCTGGGATTACTTAACACATTCTTCATTAATTTAAACCATAGAAATGAATTTTAAAAATACTTTGTGAGAAGAACAAAGGATGAGAGAATTCATCTATGGGCTACCACTTCTATCTATGTCACTGTGAGTCCAGCCTCACGCTCCTGCCAGTATCTGGAAGGATTTGCTTTAGTGGGCTGAAGGTTCAGTTGAGAGTAGGTGTAGTGTGTGGGAAGAGCATTTATTCAAACTCTGTGGGCTTTTGAAAATAACAGTGAGTGAAGTACCTGGTGAGGCTGACAGAAGTACGGTGCTGTGCAGTATTCAGCTGCATTTAGGGAGTCATATCTCTGTTTTGGAGTGGGGAAGGAGAGCTGTACAAACCAGCTGTGTGTGCAAGAGGAGGGGGAGTTGTCTTTGCTCAGCCAAGCAAAATGAAATGTATTCTGCAAACATGCCATGGGATAACAGTCTTTGTGCTCCTGCTACAGGCCAGGGTGGATCTAGTGGTGCATGTGTGAGGGGGAAGGATAAAAGGGGGAAAGATCAGCCTTTGGCCAGAGAATTGTATGGCACCACAGTTTGATATACGTTCTGAAGATGCAGATGATTTGACTCCAGCATATGAAAAGAACCATTTATTGAGCTGTCTGCAAAGCGCGGCACTTGCAGAGACTGCTGAGATGGCAACAGCTCCTAATTCAGCTTGTGTGGAAGCGCTCTCCTGACCTGGGGGACGGGTGTCTCTCCCCAAGCAGCTATTTCTCCTCCACCACAGCTTGCTGCCATGTGCAGCAGTTGTTCCTAGTTGCCCAGCCTGTGGCCCCACGGTCACAGCTCCTCCAGGAACCACCCCGTGCCACGGCTTTTGCCGCTGTCGCAGGACACGGGAGCTGTGGTTGCCAGTACACGTGGCAGTAACTGCCACCAACAAGAACAGTGCCCAGGCAAACGGAGCCTTGGGCTTGATTGCAAGGTGTGACTAACGCAACACCGAGGTCTTATGAGACTAATCCTATTATCCTTCCTTCTTAGAAGCTACATTAGGAGAGAGTGCTTGCTTTGTGAGTATATTAGTATGTATGTTAATACTATTGAGCTCCGCCACACATGATATGCCTCTAAATATATATTGCACATCCCTGCCTCTTTTCATCATTTTGTGTCTAGTTTGCTGGTATTATTTAAATAAAGCTGTTATGATTTAAATAAAACTCTTAAACTTTTGAATAAACTATGATTTATTATAAGCCTTGTAATACTAACGAGCCAAGCAGTTGAAGCCTTTTATGTGCCCCTTTTCCAACTACTTGCCCTCTTGATGCTTTGATCAACTACTTCTGGCAAGGCTTTAAAAAACTCCTGAAAGTTTCTGAGGAAATAAGGATGTTTCATGCTAGGTGCTGGAAACGGCACAGACCCCTTTGGAAATGTGCAATTATGACTTCAGTGAAAACCCCAAATCCACAATATTTACCTATTTAATTTCTTACTGACCTTTATCCAGAGTTCCCTACCCTCTGGCACATTTTGAGTCATTAATTCACTTTCATGTCTGAGCTGAAGACTGAAGAAATCCGATTCCCATTTTAAAGCCTTTTCCCAGCAGCCTTCCGACTTCAGCTACCTCATTCAGCTGCATAAGAAATATAGGAAAGATGGCAAGTCATCACCTGTCCCTTAGTATGCTCACTCATTATGATTTTGGGATAACTTTGTAAAAACTGGTGTTAGACTTGAAGAAACACCTGCTGAGAAGGTGAGGTCTAGGTTTTGTTTTTACTTTGGATTTTCAGGTCTTTCATTTTTGAAGACCTCATTACATGAAAACACCAAGGAGGCCCTTGTGTCAGATAATTAACCTCCAATAGTAGCGTTATCTCAGAACATAAGATTCCAGTAAAAAATGTAAATGGTGGCAGGGTAATATTTTTTAAAAGCTGAAACCCCGCTCCAGGGTAGTTAACTCTGTTGATTTATGTGTGTGTGTATATGCATATGCTTTGGGACTGTTGCTGTGTCCCAACTAGAGAAGAAAAGCAGTGTGACTCATGCACGAGCATCAAAACAACTGTACCCAAAAGGTGAAGGCCTGCTGCTGTTGCAAGGGAGTCAGTCTGAAGGAACTCCAGATTTACTTTGTGTAACAAGGTAGAAGTGGTAACCCAACTATTCTACTTATTCCAGAAAAGAAAAAAGTGCATCTCCTGATCAACTTGATGAGTGATTATAAAAGCAGTATTCTACTTACACTTTTCAGTAGTTTAAAATATGTTAAGTGTTACTGATTTAAATGCATTCCTCAGCATAGGTATTCTGAAGATAAATGCACAAATCAGTCAGGAACTCTGTTGAACTCTTAGGAATTTAAGTCGATTGGCATATGCATGCCCTGGAAAACATGTTTTCCTTGGGTGCTCACGAGTATGGTTTGAATCTCCCCTGTGCTAGTATACTGAAGGAGTTACCTTATATGTGTAATTTGCAGAAAAGAGGACTGAATTGGTTATCCTGCTCCACTGACCACTTTGGAAAATGTGTTGGTTTGGAAGAATTTTTATAACATGTTTAATGTGAGAAGCTCTTGGTATCAAGGGTTTTCCAGCAGCACTCAGCCATCTCCAGGGTGCTTTATGCTACCAGAAACAGTCAAACCCTTACAAGTGAGTCTGCCCCAAAATGAGCAATGTACTTAATACTTCTGGTTTCTGCCTTTCTTTTCCCTTTGAACCTTTAGGATGTGCTATGTTCTGTGGGGTTTCGTTGTAGCCACAGGGTCTAGATTTAACAGAAGTCCCTTTGCCTTTCTTTTCCGTCTGAACCTTTAGGATGTGCTATGTTTTGTGGTGTTTCGTTGTAGCCAGGGAGTCTAGATTTCTTTTAACAGAGGTCTAGCTGGCTGCTTGAGCTTCTCTGGACGGTAACTCCTTCCAAGAGCTGGAGCTTTAGCGAAAAGCCTGAATCAAAGCAGCAGTTGTCAGCAGGAGGAATGGGACTGTCACCCCTCTGTCCAGCCGTATCTCTGGGAAATCATCCGGCTCCTGCTGCCCCCCCAAAAAAGCTCCGGCCTTCAAAACTTAAACAGAAAAAAACCCAAACCAAAACCAAACCAAAACCAAAACCAAAACAAACAAACAACACCAAAAAAACAACCAACAACGATTTATGGCCCCTCCCCTCTGGCTAAAACTCACTCCTCTACTGTTCTCCCCTCAGGCGCCCTCCCTTTTTCGAAGCGCGGGGAAAGTCCCCAGCCCCGACCCCCCTCACGACCCGCCCGTTAGGCGCCACAGCGCTCGGCCAACGCCCGCTTCGCCCTTTGCAGCGGGATCCGGAGCTCTGAGGGGTTAATCCGGGTGTGCCGGCGGAGGAGAAGCGGAGCGGCTGCCGCCGCGGTGCGGGAGGGCCGGGCACGCCCCTCCGGGCGTGCCCGGCCCTCCCGCACCGCGGCGGCAGCCGTGAGCCCCCTCAGTCCCGCGGCCGTTGGGCTGGCGGTTGGGCGGCCGTTAGCGGGACCCCTACCTGCGCGCCGGCTTTTGGCGGGCGCGGCTGAGGGGAAGGAGGAGGCGGCGGGGCACCATGCCGGGCAGCGACACGGCGCTGGCCGTGGACAGGACGTACTCGGACCCGGAGCGGCACCGGCGCCGCAAGACGCGGGTAAAGCGTGTGTGAGGGCACGGAAAAGGGCTGTCGGGGCCACCCTTGGAAGCAGGCGGCCCGGGGAGGCGAGGGTGGTGGGGCTGCCCGGTGGGTCGGGGTGCTGAGCTCTGAGGGGCGACCGTCAACCTGCAGCGTGTTCCTCAGGAGGTCTCCGCGTCTGCTAGGTTGTCGATCTAAAGGGAAGGGTTTTTTTATCTGTGCTTCTTTCGTATTCCTACTCTAAATACTATTTGGTATAGGAAAATGAAATTAAACTGGTTGTTGACATAACAGAAACCGATGCTCAAGATAAATCCACAATAGAAACTAGTTGGAGGCGAGTGATAGAGAACTTACTCACCAAAGTCAACAGCGCTGATGATTTAATGAAGTGACTCTGTCTAGATCACACCGGTGAATACTTGGTTTTGGTCTTGTTTCTCAAGGTCTGTTTGATAAGTCGTGGATCAGGTGATTTTGTCTAGCAGCAGGGAATGATTACGGTTCCCTTCCTGAAGTTACTTAGAAGAGAGGTGTGGCAGGGATATGGATATCGACAGAAGAGGTGTATCTTTGTGTACTAGGGAAAAAGTAAGAATACACTCTATATCCATGATGTATGGCTTTATGGGAGAGTTTTTCTTATGGTCTGCTGGCAATTTCATCCTTTTTCTTAGCGTTTTGATGTTTTGTTTGTACAATATATGATAAACATGTATAGGCAATGCTTGTGATCCTTTCATATGTTTAGTAGCCTTTGTGATGTATGTCCTGCTGAAGGCAGTTGGCTCTTTAGTTAATGCACAGATTTCAAATTCCTACCTAAATGCTCAGCTCAAACAGGTGTAAAACAAATGGCTCTTTCTTACCATGCACTGCAGGAAGATGTGATGAAAAAGGAGGTCGCTCTAGCTGACTTGGGATATTGACAAATTCTGGGTTCTTTTCTAGCTAAAATGAGAGCCTGCATGTGTCAATAAATGAGCTTTGCAGTTTGAAGTGTAGGGATTTAGCTATTTGTGAAGGAAGACTGGTTTGTGGTTCTTTTTAGAGTGGGAGGGTTCTTGGGGTTTTGGGGGTTTTGTTTTTGTTTTCCTGTGCTGCACATTAGCATCACTTCCACCCCTCTAGCCCATTGACAGTGCTGGAAAGGAGATTGTGTGCTTCAGATTGTTCCTGCATAATTAAATATTTAAAAAATAGGTAATCCTGTACACTGTAGCTTTATTACTGAAATCTACAATGTTCTTCATACTGTAAGCTGGGTGTGCATGCTAGTCATAACCCAGTTAAAAATTTTATATATTTCCGTTGTTTTTCTCTTTGAAAGTTGAGCTGATTAGTTTTTCTTCATTGTTCTTGCTGTAATAATAATATGCTACCTAGCTTACGGTGGCCATGGAAAAAAGTTACATACCTTGAAGGGTGACTTTTTTTCATATTGAAGAGGTAAACCTGAAGTCTTCACTCTATAGTAAAGCTCATCTGCTTAAAAGCATAAAGTATCATGGCTAGCATTCAGCATTGCGTATTGTACTTGTGTACTGAAAAATAAAAAAATCTCACCATTAAGACAATTTTATGAAAACATTGGGCTTCTATCTGATTTGGGGTTTCTTTTAATCAGGATTCGTCTCTCCCTCCCTTCCTGTGACCGCGAGAACTGGAAATGTAACTCTGCAACAAGTTTGTGGAGTTGTATGTAGTTGGATTGCTCCAGGGTTTGGGCTTTACAAGTTGCGTCAGATATCACAGAACGTGTAATATAATTGGTAGAACTGGTAGCAGCAGGTTGTATGTTCCAGGTGATGGCAAAAGTTCGCATTAAATCCATTTGTGCTTATTCTGGACCAATAGGAGTTTTTCCTGGGTAAATTGCCGGGATAACTTCAACATTCCTCTTACCACTTTAACCCAGGGGGATGGAAATGGTCAGGCACTGGAGCAGCAACAACTGGTGGTAAAACGGAGGAAAGAGTCAGGAAAGCAGGGTACTGTTTTCCTTTTAGAGACTGAATAAAAAGCATCAGAGCAGTGGGAGTTAAAGCTGCCTTTCCCAAACATTCATGGAAAAAAACAACACAGAACAGGAGCACAGCAATACAGAGCTGATAGGAGGATGCTCGGAGAACCTGAAAACCTGAACTAACTAGGGAGACTTGCTTGTGTGTGAAAGAAGTCTTGGAGTTGGTTTTGTTAGCAGGATAGAGACAGTGTACAGGAAGTAGGGTGAGATCCATTTAATGAAGCCTCAGAAAAAGAGACCTGTCAAAGTAGATGCTGGATCTCATAGTCTGTATAACATAGGCTACTCAGTCCAATTTTCAGGTGGGCAGGTTTTGAGGGACTTCTCCAGCCTTGTAGGTTACTGCCTGTGTCTTTCAAGCCCATCTAAGGTTTTTCTTACAAGAAAGCGAAGCCTTCTCTATGGACAGGCAAGAAGACAGTTCCAAAAATCGTGGCTGTATAGACTGTAGGAAGACATCATCAAATTCAGTTTGTAGAAGTGTTAGAACAACTTACTGTGGGTATAGCCTTCTGAGTTTGGAAACAGTAGGATCTGAGGGGAAAAGGATTTTAAAATTCCTGCTGTGACTAAAAAGTTCCTTCAGTGTAAGGCAACAGGTCTGTTTGATACCTTCTTCTTGAAGGCCATTTGAAGAATAAGATATCCTGGGCTTTGCTAACAACTCTCCAATGAACCATATGTCACATTTGTGCAAAGTTCCCAGTGCCTGAAAGAGAGAAAATACTGGAATGAAGAACAGCTGAGTCATTCTTAACATGGGGGGTGTCACTGCTGCCTAAGAAGGCCAAGTATTTTGAGGGAGAGGCTGGATTCCTGTTCTCTTTCTTGAACAAATCACAAGAGAAACAAACTATGCTGTGCATGGCAGTACAGAGTGGGGCATAAAACCACTACTGCTTGCTGTGTAATGGTATCAGTGCCTGACAGTTTTGGTATTCTTTGGTGGGTATAGATTTGCAGTCATGTGGTTTCCTTGGTTCTGGTAAATCATCCATCCTCCACTTTAAGAAGGGTACCTTTCCAGGTGACTTTTCCTGCCTGTCCTTGTCAGTAGTATATGGTCAGTGTAATCAGGATTACTGCAGATCGCTCTAGTGACACAAGTGGAATCAGTGTGGATGATACTGCTATGCAAAATGTTTCAGTTCACCTCTGCTAATGCCAGTTGATGCAGCTTCCCTGTGCTTCACATCCACTACTAGCTGATTCCTGCAACACTACAAAAACTAATCCAAATCTTTCAAAATCAGGACTTAAGCCACGATGTAAGGCAAGATTTGGGAAGAAGGATTGCATTTTTAGTTGTCATGCACCAAGTACTGTTCTTGCTGGAACACAGCTTGCAGGACAGCTGAAGAGTGTCATGGTGCTTTCTTGAGGGACAAAAAGATTTTGCTGTGAGTACTGTGGGAGACTGGAGGTGCTCAGATTCTGGCTACACCATATTTCTTCAGCAGTAATTCCATGCAGAGGTCTATGCAGTTGCAATAGTAACATTCCTGATGCTCAAACTAGTTTGGCTATGCTAACTTAGACCTCACTCTGTTGACTTTTGCTTCTAGAGCATTGTGTCAGGACTGCCTTTCAAGACTCTACTAAAACTGTCATCTCTGAACACTCACCAGATTGTCCTATTTAGTTCTCAGAAACCTGTGTACACAGTTTTGGTTTTGTTTTTTTGTTTTTTTTTGCTGCTGATCAGGGTATTGCTCTTCACTCTTGGTCTCTTACACCTTACAGAACAAGAATCCTCCACATTTTATCAGGGTTATAAATGTATACATATGTCATTGTAGGAGAAAAATCCTTTTCTATTACAAGTAAAACACAAGTTCCTTTACTGCATCCTATCAGAAGTCTATGCAGTGATATGTCCTGCTTTTAACAAGTACCGGATGCTTTAGAGAGAGATGCAGAAGTCCTAATTACATAGCTTCTTGCACATTGGAGCCTATTCAGAACTTTGTCTTTATTAGTGGTAGACTTATATTTGAAATGTTAAGAATACTTCCTTTATTTTAAAACAAAAAAAATCTTACCTGGAGCAGATGTTATTAACAAATGGGGAATCTTAATTTCAGTCTTCTTGTGCTTTCAGCCTTAGTGAGACTAGCAATAGAATCAGTGTTCTGTGGATGAACTGACTCTTATGTGATCACACGCAGACACAAAGGCTTACATTAAAAAAGAATACAGAAATCTACTTGCTTTCTACTGATGAAAAAACATTCTGTGGAACATCTCTTCTCACTTTCCATGTCTCTCTTATGATCCCTTCCATTCATCTTGCCTACAAGCGAGCCAGTCTTTTTAATAACCTCTCCTCATATGGAAGCCTTTCTAAGCCTCTAATCACTTTCATCATCTGTCCTAGAATTCCCTTTATTTCTTAAAATCTTTAGTATGTTTAGAGGAAATAACAGAAAGGGACCTATCAGGATTAAAACCAAAAAAACCCAAACAAACCAAACAACAACAAAAACCTCTACCCAAAGCAAAAAAACCCACCCTACAGTTTTAGAGGAAAGGGAGATATTTAATCTCCTGCTGGTCCTTTAAATGAAGAGATGACTGCAGAAGAAATGCTTGTTCTGCACTTCCATGACTTGTAACCAAATCTTGAGATATTTTGTACTCAAAGAACTTACACTTTTCACAGAGTTTCCTCATGTTTTGACATAAGACGAAGATAATTTGATGGGACAGAATATTGCGAAGACTTTCAGGCCTTGGTTTTAAATCTATGGTGTATCTAGAAATGTGTGAAACCTGCCAAAGAGTGGGCTGCATGATGCAGGGGTTTGGAGGGTGAGAGGGAAGCCATAATTGTAATGTGAACCCAAAAAAGACAGATTAGTTGGTTAGAACTGAAGAAAAGCCTGGCTTGTTCATTTAAAACAGTAATAATGCTTTGATTATTTTGTCATTGTAGAAATGTTTGGAAAACACTAACTTCTCAAATATTTTGTTTATGCCAGGAAGGAATGTT